TGTGTAATAGCACAAATCTGTTTTAGATTTGATCAGTACCTGGTTGAATCCAGAAAGAACTGGAGAAGGTAAAGACTAAAGTCCCAGTCTCAGGTTTTGGTCACATTTCAACTTGACATTTTTGTCAAGGTATTACCCGTCTCCTGAGATGTACTAACCACTGTGGAGGCAGTGTGCTCCCTTCCCTGCCAGTAGACAGCAGGTGAATTAGTGCCAGTGCACCTGACTTCTTACCACCAGCAGACAAAGGTTCCAGGTCTCCATGTACAGAGTTCCATTTATTTACATCAGCACAAGCTGTCCTCCACTTGGGTTTGCCTGAGGAGAGCATTCACCCTTTACTGCTCAGTCTAATTACTGACTCAAACTAATGGCTCGTTACTGATTCAAATTGCTCAGTCTACTGGCTGCACAACTAGGCCATTAGCATTTTTTAGAGGCAAGACTCTTGGAAACCAGCAGGAAGTTAGCCACAGAATGGGCCAGCTTGCCTAGAACTGTGGTGGAGAATTTGCCTGCCTTTAAGCCCATTTCTCGCAGTTAAACCCACAAAAAGGGACACAATTATAGATGTTTAATTGAAAAGAATTTTAAGCTGTTCATCGTAGGTTACTCAAATTGCTTCAATGTTTTCTTGAAGGCTGCAAACTCATTGGGCAAAGTGTTTCACAACTCCATACAAGAGTCATGTCTACATATAAGATAGGAAGTATAAAATGAGCTCAAGCCAGGTTTTGCCTTCTGTGGGGTCATCAGAGCTTACATTTCACTGTACACTGTACAACATCACTGTATCTGCCCCAGGTCCAGGGAACTGCAGATACTATTGCCAGGTTTTGCAATAGGCAAACAAAGCAAGTCAAAACAGGCCTGGAACTTTGTGCACTGCAAAAGATTTTATGAAAGAAAAGGGGAGTTCATACCAATCAAGACTCTTCACGACTGACACTGACAGTTTATCTAGCCCATATTTACCCTGAACTTGCATCATCTTTTAATCCCAGATTATAGAACCAAGCCTCCTTTCCCATTTCCTTCACTCAATTGATTTAAAAATGGTATCAACACCTCTCACACAGTGTCTAGAACAGTCTACAGCCACTACAAACCAGTATCTCCACTTAATTTTTTTTTCCCCTCCCCATCTTTACCTCATTTCCAATCTCTCCACTTTAATTCACTCAGTTTACAGTTTTAAGAATGAAGACAAAGTAACTGTACATAGATAAGCAATGACATGGCGGCTTTTTACATTCCTGACTAGCCTACATTTTAAAACCTGCTTGGTGACTGCAAAAGACACTACTCATGGCTGCAATATGCCAAATCCGTAGCTTTGAGCTCCTAAAGCCCCAGCATTCCTCAGATAAAGAAAATAAAGTTTTCTTTCGTTTCATGTTAACTTATTTTGTTTCAAACGTGTGGTACAATTTCCCTTTGGCTGGAAAGGAACATTCTGCATTCTTTAGGCAGGGAAGAAATCCAGTTGTGTTGGCTCCAAGGATGCCTTTCTCTGCTTCTTAAAACATTAACAACCTCCCAGTGGGAGAGAAGGCGGAGATCCAGCCCTCTATGTCTCTCAGGCCTTTCAAACTAAGCAGCAACTGGAGTAAATTAGAGCAAGAAGCTTCATAAAAGAAAGGATTGTACAAGAAACAAGTCAGAATAAGGAACAGACAGCAACAGAAATCTGCAGGTTCTGGATACCCCAATCCCACCCAAGAATAACTGCATTTCCTGACAAAGGTCATGGAAACCTGTTCTTCACTTGCAGGCTGAATTCAGCATAGAAAGAACAGTAGTAAATGTCTGAGCTGCAAAGTCCACACACTGAACATGTCCTGGAGAACCTGAGTTTCCATTCCACCTCATACAAACACGTCTCCATCTCCCGGGGCCCAGGTCTGCTCTGCCTTCCAGCAAACAGAGCACGTCTCAGACATAGAACAAGTCAATACATCCTATTTTAAGATTTGGTGCCAATTTAATTTTATTTAAATTACCTTACAGGGCAAATTATGTGAGTAACTGGCATTGCATCATACAGTAATAGCAGCAATGTAAACATGGGCAGCGAGCGCATGGGATTTAAGAATAAAAAGGATTTTTTGCCAGCACTCTTGCCTGTTCTGTGCAGAAAGCTCCACAGAGCCACTTCTGGAACTACATGCCAAGCCACATGACCATAAAGCCTTTTCATTTTCTTTTATTCAGTAGTGAGATAGGCTGTGAGTGGAATTGCATGTTACCTCGCATCTTCTGGTGACTTCATCATACCTATTGACCCCCAGAAATTAGTGTTAAGATGGAAAAGAGGCCAAACATTTGGAGAAAGTTATTACCGACAGCCAGCCTTTTTCTCCTTCCAACATTAATTTGTCTCTTCTAAAGAAGAGCTAATTTCTTCATTAGCTCATAAAATCTGCATTTATTACCCAGCAGCTTAAGCCTACCGATGTGCACCATTTCTAAGGCAGAGCAGCCTCCATCCAAAAAACTATTTTGCCCCAAAGACTTGAAAGGCACCAGCGTCACACACAGTTTATTAGTTCCATATTTCACATTCCTGTATGAATGCAACAAAAGAAATAACTTTTGAGAGTCTTAGCTATTCCTTTTCCTCCTCAGAGGACCTATTCTGTGCCAGACAATGCTCTTTGACTCAGAGACCCTCATCTAGGGATGGAGAGAGGAGTCTGCTCTGCAGTGGGAAAAGTCCAAAAGCTCCCGAGTCAGATGGTAGTCACCCAAAGTGATGCCAGAAGCTTCCAAGATGTGCCCCTACTACATAGATGTTATCACTGACCCAGTTCCTGCTGGACCTCTCCTCACCGTGCCCTCTTTGCAAAGGGCAATATTTGCAGAAAGAGTGTGATCACTCAGCTAAAATGGACAGTTATACGCACAATGGGCTAGCCAGCAGTCTTCAGAGAAGCCAGACCTCCAGTGACCACCTTGCTTCAAGGAAGCCAGGCTGTTCTTGGTTCCAACTTCCTTACAACAGGACCTGATACTGGAATTCTGAATCAAGGTAACTCAAGTCAAGAAAAAACACTGATAAGAAAGCCAAATTCATTTTTAGATTAGGCATTCACCACTAGCCAAAAAAGTAATGTTAAGTCCATGAAATTTTAAACCAAATTATTTCAGCTTCTAAAAGCTCTCTTGATTTTAAAAGACCTATTTAAGAATTGCTCACAAGTATTTTTCTAATATGATGGAGAAAGGTCAAAGTGGCTCCTGCAGGGGCTTCCAACTTCCAACAGATACGAACAGATTCAGAATTGGAGTGGACAGAAAGTTTACATAGTTATTTGAAGCATGCTGGCCCAAAGGGAAACATTTTGCTTTTCTTGACAGCTACTGCATAGGATGTGTCTGCTGCCATGTGACTAAGTGTACCATTTTTGAAACAGAATGTCACAGGCAGCACACCAAGGAGAATCAACTTCTATTTCAAATTTTAGATCAATTCATTCCATTTACAGTTCTCTTTTTTTGCACATTTGAACCTCTGAGTTAATAAAGTGAGTGAAGTGGGAAAAACAATTTCAGAAGTTTTCCCCTTTTGCTCCTGTTTCTTATGAAATCCAGTGTCAGCTGCTTCCAGTTCTAGAAGAATAGACCAGGACTACTCAGATAGGAAACCTATAAACAACCCCCATTCAGAAAAAATGCAGATTTCAAGAGCTACTTAATTTGCTCATACTTCAGCTTCAGGCTAGACTAGCAATGATTGCATTAACAACAATAACAATGCGTTCAGGTGCCAATTATACATTAACACATAATTACAGGTTTAGAGACACATATTGTTATCTAAAATAAGAAGAAGGTTTCAGCATTCAATCTGAACTAAGTAGTTTTCCTTGCATCTTTCTTCTCCCTACCTTTTTCTTAACTACTATACACAATCAATCGACTGCAGATCAGATATGATCAAAATGCATCATTGTTCTGAACACAGCAATCTATAATTCCTGTTAAGTGTTTTCAGGACTAGATTGACAGTCCTAGCATGGAAGATGTTCTTCAAACTAAAGTGTTGCAGTCAAGATAGGCATTTTCCTGCATTTTGAAGTGTCAGGAATAATTGATTTAGAGAGTCAGTAGTAAAAATTCTGCTTCAGATATCAAAACAGAAACTTCTCCCAGGAAGCAGCCTTCATCCTCACCAGCAGGACTGAGGAAGTACTCAGCACTGTTTTCCCATAGTAAGGAGACAAACTCAAAAGTTGACTTTGAATGTGGGGTAGAGAGGAGAAGGGTTGAAAATTCAGGGTTTGGAGAAGGCTTAAAGACAAACTTGATGGCTCATCAATTATACTTCTGCAGTCACCCCTTCCAAGGCTATTTCAACAAATGCAAATCAGAGGACACAGAGCAGGGCTACAAATACACACAGGATAACACCACCACATCTAGTGCCTTGCTCATGAAAGGCAAGGACTGAAGAAAGGAGTGTAAAGAAGAACCAATGCCTAATGCACAAAAGGGTGAGGTTTCCAAGCACAGCTAGGGAACAGTGCAGTTCCAGCTGGCCAGAAGACTTCATACTCTATTAAAAAAAAAAAAAAAAAATCACCCTTCAATGCATATAAAACCACAGCCATGATACTGGCACTCCTGACTCCCAGTGTACTAGTCATATTGATAGTCCTCTGAATCTGAAGAGATTTTTCTGAGAAATGCTCAGTAGTTAACTTTAAGGTGAACAAGCAGAGGTTACTCTGTGCCAGCCACCCCTTTGGTAAACTCTGCCTTCATGTACTACATCTCAGCTAAGAAGTACAGAGCAGAGCACACCATTTTCTATTCCACAAGGGTGGTGCATGAACAAACTACCATCTTGATTCCTTCTACTGAAGGGCGAGGTCTATAGGCACCTAAGCCTCCTGCACACCAAGCTGGTTAGGAACCCAGGTTCTATGTTATCTCAAGGGACTTGGCTGGGCAGGTGCTATTAAAAACAAGTTGCTGAAGCACAGGACTCCACTCACCTTTCCTTCCTGAATTACCCTGGCTTGATGGTTTATCAGTTACAGAACCTAAAAGGAAGGAAAAAAATAGAAAAAAGACATCTATTTAGCTGCTGCATGATCACATAGAACATGTAACATCACATTAACACAGACAATATCTCAATTCACAAAGTGTCTGTTTTACTTGGCAACAGCTCAGTTTAGGATTCAGAGAGCCTGTGGCTTCAACCAACAGGGATAGCATAAGGGAGTTTTATGCGTTAAGATGTTAAAACACAATGAGGGTAAACAAGGAATCTTTAGTAGCTAGATCTAGTGATTTGAAAATGCTAAGCAGTGTGCTATTAAGAAACCTGGAATAAATCCAAGGGCAAGAAGGAAAGATCAATAAGGGTCACTTCTTTTGTTTGCAAATGTCAGGAAGAACAAATCAAAAACAGGTGGGAAAGTGTGCAGGGAATGCAAGGGGCAGTATTCTAAAAAAAGAGATTAAGTGGGACAATTTGCAGAAAATGGATTTCAACCAACCCCTCAACATCCCCAGCTGTTTGAAAAGGGACACTGAATAGGATCCAGCATGTACTTGAATAGAACACATCTTGGGTTTTTTAATGTAACTTAGATCTTCACATAATATATGATTGGACACTTGTTTCTGCAGTTCGCTTTAGTGCTTCATCACAGTTTTCTACTAAAATTTGAACTGATAATAAAACCTTTTTGAACAAATCCATTACTAAAGTGTATAAAAATCTATTACAACCTTTTTTTTTTTTTTTCCTGGAATAGCTTTATTCCCAGGAAAGTGATTCTTCCATGTACCATTACTAAACAGTTCCAGTTATTACTGATCCTGCAGGAAACATGGATCAAAAGTCAACTCCAAAGGAAGCAGCTCTGATAGTTCCAAGAGTCTGGTCAAGACAAACTCTAAACATAAACTCTACTGCCCAGGCACTTTCAGTTTCAAATTAGTATTTGTTGAAGCCACTCCTACAGTACCTGAACATACAGGAGTTTTGTTCTGTACAGAAGAGCCGCTAATAGGCTTCCCATCAGGTGTCACACACCAGCAGTATCCAGTGTAGGTATGGCACTGCACCTGTTTAATAAAACAAAGAGCAGACATTTCATTTCTCACTCTACCACCCACCACTTTTATTATAATTCAGCATCTTTAGTGGAAGTCCCAACCCAGGTGCATCACAAACACATGCTTCAGAGTGAGGAAGTCACACAAAAGAGTAACTTCTATATCATTAGCTTTTATTTCTCCCCTCACCTTCCTCCCCAAAGAAAGGTTACTTCTACTCCAACTCTAGCTGCTATTCATAAGGCAAAAGAAGTTACTAGTAGTCAGCTGAGAACACTGCAGTTCAGGGATGCAACAGTTGTGCCTCAACTCATTCCACCCTCTGCTAAATCCCATTTATTATTTAGCATTAAATAGTTGTCCCACTGCATCCCAGCTGGGATCTGGAAAGGCCACCCTGGCCCAATTTCACAGCTGCTGCTTAAGAACAGCATGTGTGGGCATTTCAAGAACATTTTGTTCAGTAAACATGGCTAGAAAAATGCAACCCTGACTTGGTATGTTAACAAACCTTCTCCACACAGATTTAAACTCTCTCCTGTTACTACGTCAACCTAGGCAGTAGGAACAAGATCCAACATGCTTGCTCTTCACGTATTGACAAGGACTTAAGAACATTTGGTGAAGGCTCTAATGACCCAAAAGGTACACAGCATAAAATTAATCTTGCTTAACTTTAAAGCTCTACTAAACTGAACATCTAGAGTTGCCCAGTTCCTTCCTTCACCATGGAAGGATACCAGAATTACTAATTCAGATGTGGACCTCTGAAGTGAGGATAGATAAATCCTGATGTAGCAGCCTGGTCTTAGTAACATCTATGTGGATATTAGTTCAGTAGCACTAAATTTAATCTAGCTTAACAAATCTAACTACAGCCTTTGCCTTAGCTTTCACAGACTGGTCAGCAGTTGGAATGCCTTGGACTTCCCTTGAGACAAAAATACACGATCATACAGGCATCTGTGTAAATACTAACAGGTTCCAAAATCCTTTCTAGCAAACACACTAAGTTCTGGCTGAGTGTGCACATCAGTACTTCTAACATCTTGAAATGGTACAGAAATGCCTACATTACTATAAGCTAGAGATGACTCCTTCAATAAGTTTCTGAAAAAAAAAAAAAGCCATGAAATGAGATCACTTCAGAAACTGCCTTTTTATTTTACTTGTGAATTGAATTCTGTCCATTCTCTCTTTTTTTCCCCGCAAACAATTTCATTGAAGTCAGTTTCCCATTCCAGTCGTCTCCATAAAGAACAGAAGAGTGATAGGGTGTTTGTGCTGTTCCCTTCACTAGGAATCCTTCAGAGCTAAACCAGTCATTCCCCCTTGCTGACAGCTGGCTCCCATTCCCTAAAGTAGCAGTTCAGAGACTTAAAGATAGTCTTTTTAAAAGGTTTTGAGTATCACATAAAACATGATTTAAGAGCAATTATAACACAGTACCATGTGTTTATCTTAGGTTTTATTGAAGTGCAAATCAATCCTTTTGCCTCAAGCAAATCCACTTTTTAATCAGCAAAATCAATGATAATCTCATGTACCCATGTTAATAAAGTCACTGTCACTGCTATCTGCACACTTTAATTTTTATTCTCTCAATATACCACAAAATTGATTGGAAAATACTCAAAAGCACTATGAATATAATTAGTAATAACCAAGTTGCAAGATATTTCTTATTGCTCAGTGTAATCAATTGCACATTCAAAATGAGTGGGATGGAACTGCTTGTATTTCTGTGTTTAGTGTTTATCTTCATTGATTACACACATTATTGCATTCCCAACAGCACAAGAAGCTGTCTTTACATCTGAGCAATAATTGTAAAAATCTTAAGAGATTAAGGTAAATTCCAGGATAGGGTCTCAAATCCATAGGGCAAGACCATTCCATGTTACATTACAGAAAAAGTTCAATGTATCTAGCATTTAAAAAATTCAAATGTTAGTGACTTGGATTACTCAAACCTTCAGAAAATAACAATGTACATGCCACAGGGGTCCAAAAAATGTATTGACATAAATTTAGGATAGATGCATTAACCAAGAGCATGTTATGCAACTTATCTCAATGGAGAGCTACCAATTACAAACTCATTTATGCAAGCCAAGCATATTACATTCATAAAAGTGAAGTAATTTTATAAATAACTAAAATAATGAATGCTGCTCTTCATTGGACTGGTATTCCATGATCCTTTTCTTCCCCTTGCCTCCATTAAAAAAAAAAAAAAAAAAGAAGAAAAATAAGTAAATCTCAGATTGACAGCAGTTTCACAACAAACACATGTTCTACCGCAGCACCAAAAGACGTCCCTACGACAGGTAATAGCAGCATTGAAATCTCAGCCCTTAGCCTAAAGGCCAGACAACTGTCCATGAAGAACAGACACTTCAGAAACCTCAAAAATCACTGCAGTTGGATTTCCTGAATGTCTTCATCTTGAGAGATGCTACCTTTCATCTTGATATCTGACCCGATTTCAGCATATTTAGGTGTCATAACAGTGGTGTACTGTCTGGAGGTTGTAGCTTAAAAGCTGGGAGGAAAAAACCTCGTATACTTTCCATCAGTTACATAGCACTGATATGGCATTGAAAAGTGTAAAGGTAATAGCTGATCCAAAACCATTTCCAAACACTGGGTGTGAACAAAGTCTGTAAAGTCTCAACTATTCCAGAGCACCTATGGTAAGGAATCTTGAAAATTCAGGTTTTTACTTTAAATTTCTCCATTGAGTTTCCAATGATCTTAGGTTTGAGTTTTTGTTTCTAAAACCCATCTAAGTCTTCTACCTGAAATTCAATTTAATTCTAATCCTACTCCCGCAGTAGCTAGCAAGATTTTTAAATACTGTTATAATTGGAGTAACTGTGTGAAAGTGACACCCGTTTACTGCACAGATCCATTCTTCAGTTATTGAGTTCATTTGGGCTCTACCATGATACTTTTTGGTTCTCAGTCTTCTAAAAGTAAACAGGAATGTGTGTCAGAGAAAACACATTAACAATTTTATATAAAAAATAAACTCAATTACTAACCAAGCTGCAGCTACAGAACACTTATTACTGCTGGAAGGGCACATGACAGAATTTGACATCTCAAACTAACATATAAGTGTTTAACAGCTGAACATTTTAAGTTCCATAATAGGGAATTAGAGAAATAAAACCTGTGAATTATTTGAGGTCTTCCAACAGATTCCCCATTAACAGCTACACTTTCAAAAAAAAAACCAAATCGCACTTTAAAGCCTTGCAAGTACCTGAATTCTCTGATCATGCAGAACACTTCCTGTTTTTTCAGAGGTGAGAGATATGCCATCTCAACTGTGCCTCAACTGAAGGATGAAAAGCATAAGGGACAAACCCAACAAAAATTGCTCTGCCATCATTACACAAATTAAGAGTGTAGCAGCAGCTCCTCTATTCCCCCCACCATTACAAGGTGTGAAATCAAACAGCAGATAACACACTAGTCACTGGCTGCATGAATAAACATCTGCTCTTACCAAATTAATTTCAATATGAAAACATTACCAAGTGTAGTCACTGGCAGATGACTTTGCCTCTTAATTTCCCGAGGGAAAAAAGCTGCTGTTTAGGTTTCTTCAGTATCTCACTGGCAATGCCAGAATCAGATTCCCAAGAAGCTCAGAGTTTTTCACCAAGCAAGTAGCAGCATCCCTTTACAGCACTTTCCAGTGGATCAAGGGGTCATTTCCAAAAGATAAACTGGAAATGGGAGAGAAATTGCATTCACATATATGAGGTAGAGAAGAGGGGAAAAGCAGTAATTCTGTGATGGCTGAAACCAGTCTCTATGGAGTTATAGAAAGCAGAAATTTGCTGTAAGAGGCCCAAGAGCACCTTGGACAAGCACTGGGATGAGCACAGAAACAGCAATACTCAGACTATCCTTTCGCTGTTGTTCAGATGAAGAGTTAGGTAATCAAATCCCACCCTATCAAAATCAAACATTTCCTGGCTCCTTCCATAATGAAGGACAGAGGAAAAGGGAAGAAAATCATTCATTCTGCATTCAAAGCAATGCTTCTAGGAGAGAAGAAAAAAAAAAAACCAAACAACACACACTCAGTTTTTTGAATGGCACTGCTGAGGTGTGAGAGCAGGCAGAGCTACTGCCCACACTCACAGCATAAGGCAGGGCTCCAAACCCTGGCTGCACCCAGGTCCTCCCTGTAAACACTGTAAAAACAGCTAAATAAATTGCTCCAAGCCAGTAGGTCTGCTGGTCTGACCTAGAGAGCAGAAGCCACAGTCACACCGCAATTCTTTAATCAAGCCCTTCCTTTGTTTGAGCCATTGAGGCTTATCTAGAAAGTCCTCTGAACCCAAGTTAGTGGTGCACAATCAGCACCCTGGCCTGATGGCTGTTTATCCTCTAATTGGTGATGCTTCTGTTCTGGTTTAAACATCTTGCTGTACTGCTTAGACCCTGGATCTTGTCATACTTCCTGACAGATTGTCAGAAGCCTGCCCTGCCTTTACAGACAATTTTAGGGAGCTATGAATCAGCCTGCATCTTAAGTCTGAGCTTCTTTGGGACTGCAACTTCTTCATTCTTGCCACTTTTTCTGTTCCTTGCTCACATTTAATTCTTCCCAAATTATGTTGTGCAGACAAATAGTCCAACCAGGGCTTTACACAGCAGCCACCTCCCTCAAGTCAATGCACCATTCAAGAAACACACTCCACAGAAATTTCATTATTCATATAATCAGGGAAAGTGATTTGTGGCAAAAGAATATTAGCCATGTGTCCTGGTTTTGCCATATATAACCAAAGTTGTCACCTCCTTATGCATTCATAGGTTATCTTTAACTCAATATACAAACAAGAAACAGTGAGAGCTGCAGGAAGAAAGGAAGTACTTAAGTAGTAGAAAAATATGCAGTGAAATATTCACAGAGAGCTATAGCTACAGTCTTTTATAGAAGGGATGTCTTTCAATTAAAAAAAAAAACAAACCAGAATATTCTA